CCGGGGCATTAAACAGCCCTTGAGGCATGACTAGCTACTCCTAAAACATACCGCTTGGAGTATTAATTGCTGTGAGCAGAAATTCACTCGCTCGCATGAGCAATTCGTAATACCCATCGACTACGTCGAGTCCACTGAACATGGTACAACCTACCATAGCGTTCTGGAGAACACACTTTCTAGGGATAGGCATCTGTGCCGGTATAGTGGCTGCGCTAAGATAATTGTAAGCATGCACAATGCGCTACTTGCCATTTGGCTTCCTAACACAAATGTCGGTATCGAGTGCGGAGACTTGCTCTCAGGCACCATGCTAGCCGAGAGCTTGCACAAAATAACTCGCCAATGGCGTTATACTTTCCTTTTGGTATTTGCCATTGCCATGTCACGCAGTATTTGGATCCAGGAACCAGGTCAATTTTATAGCGTACACCTCGACCAGGAGGCAGAGTGGAAGGAGGATCGTACAAACCACATCCTGAAACTCCTTAAGCAAAGGATAAACGGGTTTTTAGGATCTTTCACGATCGATGATCCACTTCTAGCACTCAGTGCCGCCTTTGTGTCTTCCAACTCAACCTCGCCAAGAAGTGACGACGAGTTCAACTCACTATAGGATCCAATGATCACCACTTCAGATAAATCGACGACTACAAGGTCAGGCCAAACTCATCGAAAGACATTCCGTCTAGCTCTAACAGAGTATTTAGTGAGGGTAGAGTCTCAAGACTGACTGATCTGTCAACGTCACCAGTCACTCCATTAACGAGTGTATATAGCTGATCGATAGTATCACTCAGTGACGTAACAGACGCCTTGCGTTTCATAGCATCACGATGGCGTCGCTTTCGTCTCTGCGACGAGACTGAATGTCTTAAGGAAGCTGGAACTTTCTCGCTCCCAAGGTTGATTACATCATCATCCTTAACTTGCTCTGTACAAGAGAGGGTGTCAGTACCGACACCCGAGACATCAATGTCCCCAAGATATAACAGACCGTCAACCTTAAGTTGCTCATTACCATAGCCGATATCATTACCGACATCCAGGACTATACCGCCCCCAAGGTGACGAACCGCGTCAACCTTCACTTTGCCCAAATTCAGATCCGATAACATTACCGACATCTGAGACGAAACTGTCCCTAAGGTGACGAACGGCGACAGCCTTAATTTGCCTAATATCAGGATCGATGTCATTGCCAACATCTGAGACTACACTGTCCCAAAACTTACGAACTGTATAAACCTAAACTCAATCTATTTCCAATACGATGTCATCACCGGCATCTGGTGATGAGTCACTTTCAGTGAGAACACCACCCAGTGCGTACTTACATGCAACTCCACGCTGATCAGATAGGCTCAACTCATGATGGCTCGGCTCTAGGCCAACAATGCATTCAGCATTCAGTAATTCGCTATCACAACAATTATCACATGACGGAGTACGTGCCGTCCCACTATCAGTCATTGTTCTTGGCTCAGAACTGACCGGTTCGACATCTATTAACTTAGTAAGTTCAGCCATACCTACGACCAGCACACTGACTGTCTCAGTCCGTGTCTCGCGCCAATAGCATTTCGATTTTCTGGCAGAGGTGGTCTCATGTATCTCCAAAGCTCCACTAGGAACAGTGTGTGTTGCGTTTAAGGTCTTTGACCTTCAATCAATCCATGGATCATGGCGTTCTAGCCTAGGCATACCAAGGATAAGATCATATCTCTCATCCAAGTCAAGGACTAGACAGTGTTCGATACTGTCAAAGTCCGCAAACTTAAAGCTCAAAAACTTTATTCACAGGGGTGAATTCACCTGTCGCCAAGCGAACAGTTTCATTCTTATTCTTTGCGCATTCAGCGCCTCATCATGACTAGCTGTCAGGGTAAAACGTCGGACATAGTTTCTCGAATACCCGAAGTAGATCAATATCGATCATGACATATCAATGCCCTTAGCCGTTGGTTTTGCAATTAACAAGCCTGGCTTATACTTAAGCTTCGTGACATCGTGCACGAAGTCACTTGGGGCTAGGCCCTGTTCTCCATCACCTCCCATAGGTACAATAGAGCCTAAATCCTTCCCAGCAGGGCGCCCCGCGCCTACTGGGACTCGAAGTTTCCTCGCGCTATACCGACTTGTTGGTTAGAGAGAGGGAGGTCAGTTTAAACAAGCCTGTCTGGTCCTTCTCAAAGGACAATTGGGGGCGAAGATGTTTGATGCTTCCCGCACGTAAAACGTCTACGGATGTTCGAACGCTTTTCGACAGCGTAAAGCTCAGCTTCTTTGTTTGTTTCGGCGAGACTAAGGTCCACGGGTTCTGCCCTATCCATGTAAATGAGCGATTATCGACGAGTTCTAAAGGAAATCATGATTTCCGTAGCTGGCAGCTTGAAAGTTAAACTCTGCATTCAATGCTATGTCCACTGCACCCTCAAATATCATGAATTTTGTACAAAACACTTCTGTTCTGGAAACGCCAGTAGGAAGACCCTGCAAAAAATTGGTTACCAGAACTGTGGTGAAGTCGATCTCACAAAATTGCTTGTATGAGTGTCGATCTTCCACTTGCCTAGACTTGCCGACTCACGGAGGGGGTACTCCGATCCGTGCCTTGTTGTATGACCTTGTGCTCACCTTGTGTACCCGTCGGTTGGGCTGGCTTGAGCTCTTCGTAACGGCCTTGGGGGATGTCGATCTCGCTGAGAGGTTGGGTTGAGGGTTCGCTTCCGGTGCGGAAATCTTCACACCACGAACGGGGGTTCTGCGATCCCGATCTTGGATCGCACCGATCTTGATTTGTCTTCGAGATCGGGGTCTTTGCTGTGCGGAAATCTTCACTCAGCAAATAAAAGTCCTTCGTCGATCTTGCCTTGGGATCGGTCCGATCTGGTCTTGGGATCGGCCGATCTTGCCGGAAGAGCGCAATTTGGGTAGATCGGTGTCTTGTTTCGCCAAAATGAAACGTGCCGATCTGTCCAGGGGATCGCTTCGATCCTGCTCGGTCTTGTCTTGAACGCCTTGTCCAGATCTTCTGACCACTTGAGCCGTCTCGCGATCCTGTGTCCAAAATCCTTTTCCTGTTCCGTTGTGTGCTGCTACCCTAGCAGTTAAGTTGAGTGTGAGTACTTGATCGATCCGGGCCAGATATCCCGGGATCGCTCTTCTCGATCTTGGCCAACAATCCAAGATCGGTCTTCTGTGTCCCTGTAACACGCGCGCCTTAACCCGCCGGGGAAGCCAAATCAATCTTGCCTGGAGAAGAGGGGAGGATAACGTGCGTCGTGAGCAGAAGAAGTAGAGTTCAAGTCTGTTTATTAACCAACCAAATTACTATCCAACCTACCCTTAAGCCTATTTTTAACTATAGGTCACTCTTCAAACCGATATCGCCTTGAATCTGGTTCGCCCCCTTGCCACGTGTCGAAATTTCGTGCCCTGTACTCCAATGATAGCGCCAATATCCCCGATATCGTACCTAGAGCACCAAATGGACCAAAATCTCCTATATGGTACCAAATACCCATTCTTGGCACCCAAGTACCCAATATATGACCCAAAATGCCGAATGTGTCCAAATTCACTTTGCGACGTCGATTCGGACAGCTTCCACTGGCTCTTTCGGCATGAAACTTCTTGACATCACTTAGTGACCTCTATCAAGTATATTCCACATGATCCAGTATCTTCATCAACCATATATTCATGATCAGTGTGGAACATGACCGATCTGTCATCCAATATCGAGATGTTGGAGGTCGATCCGGTCTAAATCGGCAATTAACACTTTTTCATCTCCTCATACGTGCTTCAATATCATCCTCCAGTGTTATCCAATCGACAACTTCATTCATACGTCTCGACATCGGTTTCCTTGACTCCCTGAGTAGGCAAAACTTCCAGATCGGTGTATATTTAACCAAAATCAGTACTCCCAATTTAGGATCGGTAAAGAGTATCACCGATCCGTATGGTGTTGCACCTTCTTTGCCGATTCACCGACCCGTACCACCTGGTCCCAGATGCACTTTGGGAGTCACCTTGTCCCCGATGTGTCAATTCTCCAACAAACCGTTGCCACAACATGTCGATCTGCGATCTGATCTTAGCCTGCTTCAATGTACGTATACTTCTTCTTGACCGGCATTCCAATGAGCTGTATGACTTCATCCCGATGTCTGGTTCCAGATCGCCCCATAACATTCTGCAAGATGTTACACCTTCGTCGCAGAGTCATATCCCATCACCCGGTCCCAGATCCTTGTCCCAGATTGTTCCATGTAAATCGTTTCAGATCGCTCCGTCCCAGGTCGATCCATACCCATTAGTCTAACGACAGTTGGATCGGTTCGCCGATCCCGTTAAGATCATCTTCCACCTCCGTATTGGATCGCCGAGTCTCATGGCCTCCTTTTCCACCAGTAAGCGGCGCTTTAAAGGTGTGGCCACCGATCATCGTACAAAATTTGAGTAGTGACTTTGCCACAACCGCCCCCTGTACTGAAGTCTTTTGTACAGCAATTGACCTCAGTACAGTCACTCATCAACTTCGTTCCAAGCACTCAAGTCCGTCTCATGGCCTCTCCGACGCATCCACCCACCTCGCCGATCTCTTCAGAAGGATTCACCATGTTTCTGTCTCCGGATCGCGACCTGTCGCCCGGATCGCCCGATCTCGGAGGACACACCCCAGCGGTCCCCGATCGGCCTGGGTCTCCGCGCCATCTAGGCCCAACCGGATCGCCCACAATCCCCACGGGATCGCCAGATCGACAGCCGACCAGACCCTCGTCTCCATCTCGTCTCCATGCCATCTAGATCGCCGGATCGCGGGTGGTATGCTCCTATCGTCCCAGATCAACATGAGTCTCTCAGTAATCCCAGATCGGTCGGATCGCTCTCGACCGACGCGGAATTATCAGATCGTTCTTCCGAGCCATTTCTGCTTCCCACTCCTCCGGCGGCCCCAGATGCGTCCAGATCCGACATCCCGGCCGCTAATGAATCTCGTGAAAGGTCTGCTCCAGTTGTGGGCGTCACCGGCTTCGTTCCCAGAGTTTCTGCCGACGACGTTCGTCTCACGATGGCCACGATCTCGTATTTGTGGGATCGAGAGGCTACCTTCTGCAGCCAAGCCGACACCATTCATGCGCTTCAGCAGTCCTACCGAGATGCCGTCGCCCGGGGGGATCGCTTACAAGACGAGCTTGATTCGCTGTACAGATCAGCCGCCCCTTTTGTCTCCTTCGTCCAGCGTCGACATGACTGGATGCAGGGCCGCTACGTCGATGCAGTGCATTCTTTGAGTGATTGCAATCGAGCTCTGCGGACATATCGAGATCAATCGGAGGACTTTCGTCGGCTACGCACTTTGATACGTGCTAACGACGAGGCTCAGGGGAACTTGGAACGACAGGTGGATGCTTTGGGGCTCAACTTCATTCGCTCCAAGCCGAACTCAATTCTCTCCGACAGCAGCGTGATCAGCTGACCATGGACAGGTCCTTCCTTCACATAGATATTTTGCACTTGAAGGAGCAATTGGCTCAGTCTCAGGAGGAGATCGCAGATGGACTGTCTTCGATCAGCGATCTCATACAACAAGTGGATGGTTTGACTCCCCTAGAGGGTCAGTTGGCACTTTCGCAGGCGGAGAACGCCAACCTACGTCGTCAGCTTGCGGAACACCTCGAGGTACACGACCAGTTGCAGGTGATGGAGCATGATCGGGATCGGGCTATAGCTGAACACCGTGCTCTCCTCGATACACTGAACAGTGCTATACTCGGATCCCGGTCGTCTGCGCTGACCGCTCGATCGACGCCTAAGAGTGCTACTCCGGCCGGATCGCCCCCTGCTCCCACTACCCCGGTATCGAGATCGCTTGCCCGTAGGTCCAGATCGAGATCGTCCGGCCCGCCTGACAAGCGTCGGCGTATTCAACCAAGGTCACGATCCAGAGATTCTTTCACCGCCCGCGTGGCCTCCCAGCTATTGTCGTTGAACCCTTCAATGCCTTTAAACAAACTTCCCAGATTGGCCCCACCCGAGCCTCCACCGAATTCTTCTTGTTCTCCGCTTTCGTCCGCGGCTTCTGGGACTGGATCGGGAAGTGAGGAGCTGACCGAGTCGGATTCTAGCTCGGATTATTTGACTCGTGCTGCATTATCCCAATAGAGATCGGCCGCTCGTCGTCAACCTAGATCGGATGCCCGATCTTCGACCCCGAACCCCTTTCCGGCCGCTCGGGTTGTTCCCGCTTCTCCCGCAGCTACTGCGTTGGCTCAAGCACTGTTGCGTTCGCCTTCTACAGACGTTCCGAAGCCTCGTTATCTTTCGTACCCATCCACTCCGGTCGCGGCTGTCCCCGTAGTCGAAATTCAAGATAATGGCGGCGTAGAAGACGTGGAGGTATCGCCGACAGGGGAGACCCACAGCGAGACTGGCTCTGTTAGTCCGCCTTCGGAGTCCACTGCGCTTTCGAATCGCCATTCGTCCGATAGCGAAAACAGCATCACCCTTCCGGCGCGCCAAGTGGCTAACAGAGTCTTCTCTTCCGTTGACTTCGACAATCTTCCGCCACTCCAGCAACCACGGGATCGGTGGATTCCAAACTATCTGGCGCCCTCCCGACGAGTAGCTTCCGAGATTGCTCCATGGTCCGTTTCGCGGATCGCGATGGTTTGCGTGAGGAACATGACCATTGAGCTGTTGTGTCACCACTACTCCAAGCCCAGGAATTTTCTGTTTCCCTTCTACAATCATGGACGAGCTCCGCCTACGGGGACTTGGGCTTCTGGGCTGATCTCGCGGCAACACATCGAGACTCTTTACGCTACAGCCCCTTGGGATAACATCATAGTCCCAGTGAACCCGATATCGTTCACCATGACTGGGTGGTATCGTGATATGAGTCATCGGTACCTGGAGCTTGAGTCCACTCATCGACAAGCTCTGTGGGAATCCACTCATGCTTTCCCGATTCCTCCGGCTCAACGGTGATCTGAACGGTTCATGCAGACATTCTGGCGCCAACGAAAACAACGCTGTTCTCGCTTTGGAGCGCGTTGGAAGAACTTCTTGAAGATGATACTCAGCGGCATGATCGCTGGCCACTGCGATCTCGACATCTTGCTAGATCCCTTCTTCCTCCACTATCCGCGCCCACATGAAGACCGAGTTTGGTATCCAGGGTTAGGACACTCTAACGACCCAGCTGACTTGCTAGGGGCGTTGGACATGGCAGACCAAGAGGATCCTTGGCGCAACCAGTTCCGTAACGCATACGGAACTGGTTGGATCATCCCGGATCGCAGATCCCTCGTCTGCAGGACAAGTTCAAACCTGCTCCATCGTCTTAGTCCAAGATCGATATCCAAGCCCGATCGTCTTTCATAATCGTGTAAGTCATTCAATCATCTTCTTTTTGGTACTTCAATTCTTTGCAGCTTCCACGATCTCGATCCTCATCGCTCCACATCATTCAGGAAGGTAATTCACTTGACTATCTCCATACTCACATACAAAAACCTCATCCACCAGCATGTGCTACCGTCTAGCACATCTTTCAACCCCTACATCCGCATATGCTACCTCCCGCATACTTGTTCGAACTGTTAAGGTTCGTCCGACTTGCCTTCATGAGACTGCATTACGTCGAAACGGTTTCGACTCACTCGGTTCCGCTCAAACTCTTGCAAGATCGCCCCACAACTTAGATCGGCCTCGTCCACCCAACTTAGATCGGGATATCCCTTCCACTTCACCAGAAACTGCCGGTGTACTCGCCCAAAACGGGTTTTTCTACCAGATTGCACGTCCAATATTGCCTCTACTTCGTATTCCCCTTCTTCAAGATCGCCATCCCAACTGTCTTCTGGCAGCAGAGCTTCATCGAAATCCAAGCGATCTGATTCCTCTATCGTAAGCTGATCCTTCGGGCGTTCAGGGAACGTCTTTACCTTTTTAGCTTCGATATATGTACAATCGGAAATAACCGATATGGGGTTCCAGCGATCTCCAATTTTACAGCATGATCTCCACATACGTCCGCAACTCGGAATGGCCCATGCCACATGTGCGCTAGCTTCTTCGCATATCCCTCTTTAACTCGGTCCAGGTATAGCCAAACTTGCGCTCCTACTTCGATCTCGTGTGGTTCCAGATCTTCGTTGTGTCGATCCGCTCGCTCCTGGATCGCGGCTTGTAAACGATCGTTCACTGCAGATCGGGCTCGCTGGTATTGTCTTTGGATTTTGTATCTCCACCTCTTTGGATCGCGATCTCGTGTCCCCGTATTCCCCACTGGTAGCGTAGCCTCCAAAGTCGATCGCGGGTCCCACCCATGAATCAGATAAAATGGGGTATCCCCCCGGATCTGATCTTGTGCAGTGTTAATGGCAAATGTGAGCCGCTCAGCATACTCATCCCAGTCTCGCTGGTCAACTTCAGCCACGTACATCTTGAGCGAATGTGTCAGGGTTTGCACCATTCGTTCGGCTGTTCCATTTGCTTGTGGCCTGTAAGCCATAGTAGCACGCTGTTTTTGTCCTACGATCCGACTGAAGGCTCGAAAGAAGTCGGACATAAATCCCGGTTCTCGATCGTGCCTGATAGCCTCGCTAGCTCCGAAGCGTCGAAACACACATTCTTCGTAATTCTCCGCTATTGTTTGTGCCGTCCGAGAGGAGCTAGCCTTTGCAATCACATATCCCGAGAAAAGGTCGACCCAAATGAGCAGTTCGGTGTTCCCCTTGATGGACTTGGGCAACGACGGTATATGATCCATGGCGATGATCTGAAATGGATAGGTTGCGTGTAGATTGCCCGGGGATTTCCCATGAATCATCGGGTTTCCTTTCCCGGTCTCACAGTCGGTACATTCGCCCACATATCGTTGAACGCTCCGATACAGTCCTCTCCAATAAAATCGCGATCTGATCCTCTGATAGATTCGGCCAATACCCTGATGGCCTCCTTCCAGACTCGTGTGATAGTGATGCAAAAAATCCTGCTGCAACGTCTCAGGGATCACCAACCGCATCAAATAATCGCGATCTTCCGACTCTCTTTTCGCCATGGGGCAAAAAAATAGCAGATTGTTCTCATCGATCTCGTATTCCGGCGCCAGTTTGGCGCACATCTTCACTTCTACCGCATCCAAGTTTGATGCATCGCCACTTAGATATGTCTTGAGATTGACAATCCCACGCTCTTCATCTTGAGCTTGGAAAATTCGTTGAATCCTGATCCTCTGTACTATCTCCTCCTGTATCACTTCAGGTTCATGACGTATCCTCCTGGCTGATCTCGCGATCGCAGTTACCCGAGCTAGCTGACCATCTTGCTTGGGCTTCAACAATTCATCGAGACGGTTCATAGTCTTCAGATCTTGCCGATCCTCTTCAGCTACAACCGTTCTTCCCTTTTCGCTCTGCAATGCAGTGCTGGCTAGTCGATCTGCACTCTGATTCCACTCTTGCTTCATATGCAGAAACTCGTGACTAGGCCATGACTGCAGCTTCTCCAACGCTTTGTGTCTCAGAAGCTGAAGGCCCGGTGCCTTGCAGTCGATCTCACCGCGCATCTGTCGAATCACCAGACTGGAATCTCCACACAGTATTACTCGCCCCCTATCCAGATCGGCGAGTAACTTAAAGCACAGTAGCAAGCCATTATACTCAGCTTCATTCACAGTCAGATCGTGAACATATCTCGATTCGGCCGCCACGATCGTCCATTCGGGTAACTTCCATATCACGGCACTGAACGACCCTCCTTTCTCTTTTATCCTAGCCGATCCATCGAAACTAGCCACCAGCAACTCCTCATCTGTTTCCACCGTTGGAGGAGGCATCGATATTTTGAGTCGACAGTCTTTTCGTGGGGAGATCGCAATCAGCATCTCTTCCACTTCTCCTCTCGGAGTGATACTCGCTGCTAACATGCCCAGGATCTCTTCCTCTCCTCTTTCACATTTCTTCACCTCCATAGTCCAATTTGACAACAAATCAGCCCACCGTCCTAATCTCCCGTTGAGCCCTCGAGACTGCATCAACCAGGCTAACGTAGAATGTCGGGTCAGTACAGTGATCTCCCGCGAGGCAAGCGTAGTATAGCATACATCCAACACACGAAGTAGCGCCAGCACTTCTTTTTCTACCGTTCCGTAGTTAAGCTCATTAGGCTTTAAAGTGCGGCTAGTAAACATAACCGGATGATAAACGCCATCGTACTCCTGTATCAGGGCCGCTGAGACAGCCCACTTGCTAGCGTAGACCACAATTACGGGGGACCGATCTGGGTCGAAATGCTTGAGCATGGGAGCTGTAGCTATCTTAGCTTTTAGCATAGTGAAAGCAACCTTGGCTTCCGTCCATCGACCCTCGTTGGAGCATTCGTCTCCTGCTGCAAGCTGAGATCGGCCGATCTCGAAGAAATCCTTTTCTCTTAACTCATACAACACCGCGGCATACACCGCGAAATCCTCAATGAAGCGACGGTAGTAGTTCAAGCTCCCGAGAAAGGATTGCATAGCTCGTAGCGTGCTAGGAAACGGGATGTTAACCAACGACTCTAGGTTCTTGGGCTGAGCCTCCAGACCATCCATCGACACTCGATGTCCCAAATAATCGACCTTACGGCACCCCCAAAAGCTCTTCGTGAGGCTAATAGACAGATTCCACCTATCTCATGCCTCCAACAACCGTTCTACTTTTGTGTACAAAGATCCCCATGACGTGGCTGGTATGAGAATATCGTCAATGTAAGATCGGCGTCCCAGTATAGACGGTCGTCGATCTGTCTCAGGCCCTCCATCTTTGAACACGTCGATCGGGCCATCAGAGGCTGATCTCTGACCGATCTTGAGATATCCATACAACGCATTGTCCACCAGACGTTGGTAGATCTGGGGCGCGTTCTTAAGCCCAAAAGGCATTCGCAGCCACTCGAACAAGCCAAACGGTGTGACAAACGCTGAGATCAGTTTTGCTCGTTCAGTAATTTCGACGACCCAAAATCCACTAGCCATGTCTAACGAGCAGTACCATAGAGCTTTATCCAGATCTTCCAACAGATCGCTGATCAACGGCATGGGATAAACCATCAGACGCGTCAGCTGGTTCACTCTTCGATAATCAATGCAAAGGCGAATATCCACTCCGTTCTTCTTGATGATCACCACTATCGGAGACGCCGAAGGTGACGTGGATGGCTGAACGATTTTGGCTGGTAATAGTCCTTTGATGAGATCTGACAGCTTCTCCCGATATTTGGGTGCGACCGGACACACTCTTTGCGCTATCGGTGCTTCCCCACCGACATCAATATCACAGATCGCGCCTCTGTGCTGGTGGTAGAGCATTACCTTTGCCCATGAGGAGGTGACGGCTCTTCCAGATCAGCGATCTGAGCCGTTGTTGATCTGTGGTGAGAGGCACATCGGGATCACCGATCTGAATGTCCTCAATCGTAACTTCTTCCGTAGTCGCCGACATCTCTGGTAGCACGGCCATATGCTGCTCGATATCTTCCGCAAACAAATCTCCGCTCTCGTGGTGATAAACTGGTATTTCTGCAATCTCGACGTCTTCAGTATTTAGCATTATTTCTTCTTTAGGCTCCTTCGTCTCTTCCGGCTGGCCTAATTTCAACAGTCGGTCAGTCGGCTCAGCCTTCGGTAGAGACGATCTGTCACGTAGCCCTTCTTGACCGGTGTCGCGGTCTCCCTTCGTTGCATGTTGGGTACCGATCTCATGACCGTTCTCCATCCACGATAGTTCGGCTCCTCTGACCGTTACTTCCCTCGCAGCTACAGCATCTGCCTTTTTGCGAATCGTCATCGTTAGCTTGCGGCGTTACCGTGGATATCGCCGGAGACAGGTTCTGTGACGCATCAGACGGACGTTTCAAGATGCGTTTGGGAGCGGCATACGTAGGACGGTCTACCAACGGTCCGATCTGTTCTTTCGGGAGTTCGTTCACTCGATCCGTCGTAGCCTCATATGCCAGAGTTTGCCATTCCTTGTACTTCCCTGACCCGACTGTCACCAAACCTTGAGTTCGCGGTACCATATCGCCTTCGACCCACATGCCTAATATAGTGTGGGTGGGCAGTATGATCTCACGGTCGCCAATGTTGGTCATCTGCAGGTATTTCGTCTTACCCCACCCCGAGATCACAGTGGGGACCCAATCTAGTCCTCTAGCGACCCACAACTTCATCTTAGCCCCTCCGATCCCGATATTCACTTCCCTTGACTCTCCGACCGGGATCACCACGTGTTGGTCCTTCGCCGTTATATGTTGTATCTTCGATCCGTACGCGGGGCGACGTCCTGCGAGATGAATGCGAATTTCTTCTGGTAGACATAGCGCGCCATCCGCTAGATCGAGCCGCACTCCAGCAGGCACCATAAAATCCATACCCAGAATCGCTTCTTGCCCTGCCAGATCGCCTACCCATACATTGAAATAGTATACCAGTGATCCCGCGAGGGTCACCTTGATCTTGGTACGTCCTACCGTCATGTACGGAGTTTCTCCAATCCCGATACATTCTTGTCGTTGACTTTCTTCAATATTGCAACCGACCTCACGAGCAAAGGTGGTGTCAATGATCGACACTTCAGCACCAGAATCAAATAACAGAGTAGCTTTTACGTTGTTGATCTTGCCAACGGCTTTCGCTTGTTTGAACCACTTCCCGGGTGAATAATGTTTCCAGTATCCGCGAGATTCACCATAAGCAAGCTCGATCTCCATAGCTGGTTCAGATCGAGAGTACTCATCGATCCGCTTCAGATGGGACACGGAAGCGACACGTTTTAACTTCGAACGATATATATTTGTTTCCACGTCAATATCCTGCTTACTCTCGCGATCTGTCTTCTTTTTGTTCACGTATGCAATAATGCAGAGCCCAGAACGCTCGGCTCGTACCAGATTCAAACCTGGCGAGCGTCCTAGTTTAACATCTTATCGGCCTTCTCTGGTAGCATCCCCGCATGCTTATTCGGGATGTACCACTGACGGATCATGTTGTAGAACTCCTCCATGGGACACTTCCCCGGGTCGTGCATCTCACCGCAAGCACGACACACGAAAAAACAATTGTCAGAGGGGTGTCCTTTACGCCCACACTTCTGGCAAGTGAGCCGCTTCCAGCAACCGAGATCTCCATGCTTGGTCGATCCGCGATGAGTACACGGCTTCAATGGCATATTGCGATCTTGATAGTCTTGACGAGTGTTCGGGTCGACCGATCTCGCGTTTGCTGCAACGTCATTGGGGGATGAACGGCGATCCGCAGTAGCAGCCACATGGATCAATCTCAATCAATCTTCCAAATCCGATTCGCAGGTGTCCGATCCTGACTCGCTGCAGACGTCCTCGGTACGGACCATCCTTACCGCTCGTGCAGGCTTAGACAGTGCTGGACCCTGAGTTCCCTTCTGCCTGAACTTGGACGATCCCATCATCACTTTCCCTTGACGCGATCTCCCTTGTTGATATCCGTGCAGTGTCTTTTGCATGGCTCCCGCGTCTTCTACATTCAGCAGTAGCAATTGATTGGACAGATCGGGGTCGTCAAAGGTGTCAATGAAATGGTTGACATGTTCCTTGCGCGCAGCTGGCAATCCTGTTATCACCGGTATCTTCGCCTGCACATTAAGCCGATACAGGTACTGTAAAGGATCTTCCTCCGATCGTTTCTTTGCGTGGTAGTACTGCCTGATCGCGGACATCCCGTGTCCTGCATATTCCACAAGAAAACTGTTCATCAATTCTTTCCAATTGAATCTCGTCGATCTACTCAGCTGTCGGTACCAGTAGCGGGCTGGGCCCACCATGAGATCACCGAAGACCAGACATCTCTCCTCGTCCGGTGCTTGGTCCCGGATAAACGCTGATTTCACTTTGCCGATCCAGGTCCGTGCTTTGTCTTCTTCCCGATCCTTCCCTGAGAATTCTTTTAGCTCAGAAATCGCTGAGATTCTGATCCTCTGCGTGATGCTTCCCCCTCCGGTAGTCGCACCGGTCGCGGCTACATGAGGGCGCCGTGGTTTGGGCATCCATAGATCATCCGGGTCGTATTCCGCCCCCTCATGGATATGTTGGTAAATGTCCGACCCCACCGACTCCATCTCCACATCCGGCATGTCAAGGCTTTCGTGTGAAGATTTGAGCAAAGTACGTCGATCTGGGTAGCGGTTTGGCTGTCGATTCATTCGCTGAGCTGTACGTTGATCCGCCTCGTACTTCTTCATGGCTGAATTGAAGTACCGACTTAGATCGCCCTCTTCTTGATCCTCCAGCCCAGTGCGGGTACTGGCCGATCTCTGCGGCATGTTGCTCTTGGCTTGTCCCTTATAGGCGTCGATCTTGGCTTGTCCGATCTTGTCCTTTAAGAACCTTTCACCCGATGGTCCTAGAGACATCTGACGAATGCTGATGGATCTATCTGACTCGCTCTCGGAGTCATCCGAGGCGTAGCGGGGCGATCCCGCGGGGTGTTTACGGAGCGAGCCCGAGTGCGTCCCGATCTTGTCTTCAGGAGTATTCGCTTTGCCCACCAGCATTATCATGATCTCTACAAACTAATTCGCCGCGTCCTTCAACTGTTTCAAGCTGCAACTCAGCAGTTCATCTCCATCAAAAGCGTCAGGGCAGATACCCATGTCGTCCAACATCTGCAAAATCAAATTGATCTCGTCGACTTTGCTGGTCCCGTGAAGTGGGACCGAGATCGGCTTATCCAGAGGACCAATCACCTCGGGCCTTAATATCTTGAACACTGGGTCCGTCTTGAGCAGCGTCTTCAAGTGGCCATAATAGTACTGCCATTTTGCACGCTCCCGCGCTTCACCCGTCGTCTCCTTCTCCCTGGACGCGATCTTTATTGGGTTATATTCCGTCTTTGGCATCGCAATCTTATCTGGTGTTTCATCGTATTCCGCTTTGGCTCCGATCTTTGATTGCACGGTTCGGCCGATCTGGCGATCTTTGACATCTGATCCCATCGATCTCGTCGCGGATCGTTCTGATGTGGTCGATCTCGCGATTGTGCTCTTCGGCTTGAGGTCGGGCGATCTATCGACTAAGATATAGGGTTTGGCTTTCGCCGATTTGGTTTTCACCATTGGATTTTCATCCAGCAGATCGCTCTTTGCAGAGCGATCTGCGGTGGCCCCCGAAGGGACCCTAGGAGGGAATTGAGGTTTATCTTGCAGATCGATCTCTCGATCTTCCTCTTTCATTTTCATTTCATCAGAGCCCCTCCCAAAACTCTGATGATCTGAGGATCTTGTGCTTCTGCTTGTCTGCGTCGATCCCTTTGTCGCTGACACTTCAATCCCAGGTTCTTGCTTAATCTTGACATCTTCGCCAGTGGACTCACGGTGAAATCCAGAGGCCTCAGAAGATCTGGTCACGCGCACCATTGTAGTGAAGTCGATCTCACAAAATTGCTTGTATGAGTGTCGATCTTCCACTTGCCTAGACTTGCCGACTCACGGAGGGGGTACTCCGATCCGTGCCTTGTTGTATGACCTTGTGCTCACCTTGTGTACCCGTCGGTTGGGCTGGCTTGAGCTCTTCGTAACGGCCTTGGGGGATGTCGATCTCGCTGAGAGGTTGGGTTGAGGGTTCGCTTCCGGTGCGGAAATCTTCACACCACGAACGGGGGTTCTGCGATCCCGATCTTGGATTGCACCGATCTTGATTTGTCTTCGAGATCGGGGTCTTTGCTGTGCGGAAATCCTCACTCAGCAAATAAAAGTCCTGCGTCGATCTTGCCTTGGGATCGGTCCGATCTGGTCTTGGGATCGGCCGATCTTGCCGGAAGAGCGCAATTTGGGTAGATCGGTGTCTTGTTTCGCCAAAATGAAACGTGCCGATCTGTCCAGGGGATCGCTTCGATCCTGCTCGGTCTTGTCTTGAACGCCTTGTCCAGATCTTCTGACCACTTGAGCCGTCTCGCGATCCTGTGTCCAAAATCCTTTTCCTGTTCCGTTGTGTGCTGCTACCCTAGCAGTTGAGTTGAGTGTGAGTACTTGATCGATCCGGGCCAGATATCCCGGGATCGCTCTTCTCGATCTTGGCCAACAATCCAAGATCGGTCTTCTGTGTCCCTGTAACACGCGCGCCTTAACCCGCCGGGGAAGCCAAATCAATCTTGCCTGGAGAAGAGGGGAGGATAACGTGCGTCGTGAGCAGAAGAAGTAGAGTTCAAGTCTGTTTATTAACCAACCAAATTACTATCCAACCTACCCTTAAGCCTATTCTTAACTATAGGTCACTCTTCAAACCGATATCGCCTTGAATCTGGTTCGCCCCCTTGCCACGTGTCGAAATTTCGTGCCCTGTACTCCAATGATAGCGCCAATATCCCCGATATCGTACCTAGAGCACCAAATGGACCAAAATCTCCTATATGGTACCAAATACCCATTCTTGGCACCCAAGTACCCAATATATGACCCAAAATGCCGAATGTGTCCAAATTCACTTTGCGACGTCGATTCGGACAGCTTCCACTGGCTCTTTCGGCATGAAACTTCTTGACATCACTTAGTGACCTCTATCAAGTATATTCCACATGATCCAGTATCTTCATCAACCATATATTCATGATCAGTGTGGAACATGACCGATCTGTCATCCAATATCGAGATGTTGGAGGTCGATCCGGTCTAAATCGGCAATTAACACTTTTTCATCTCCTCATACGTGCTTCAATATCATCCTCCAGTGTTATCCAATCGACAACTTCATTCATACGTCTCGACATCGGTTTCCTTGACTCCCCTGAGTAGGCAAAACTTCCAGATCGGTGTATATTTAACCAAAATCAGTACTCCCAATTTAGGATCGGTAAAGAGTATCACCGATCCGTATGGTGTTGCACCTTCTTTGCCGATTCACCGACCCGTACCACCTGGTCCCAGATGCACTTTGGGAGTCACCTTGTCCCCGATGTGTCAATTCTCCAACAAACCGTTGCCACAACATGTCGATCTGCGATCTGATCTTAGCCTGCTTCAATGTACGTATACTTCTTCTTGACCGGCATTCCAATGAGCTGTATGACTTCATCCCGATGTCTGGTTCCAGATCGCCCCATAACATTCTGCAAGATGTTACACCTTCGTCGCAGAGTCATATCCCATCACCCGGTCCCGGATCCTTGTCCCAGATTGTTCCATGTAAATCGTTTCAGATCGCTCCGTCCCAGGTCGATCCATACCCATTAGTCTAACGACAGTTGGATGGGTTCGCCGATACCGTTAAGATCATCTTCCACCTCCGTATTGGATCGCCGAGTCTCACGGCCTCCTTTTCCACCAGTAAGCGGCGCTTTAAAGGTGTGGTCACCGATCCTCGTACAAAATTTGAGTAGTGACTTTGCCACAGAACCGTCTCAGGTAAAGGATCAAGTTGCATAGCAGCAATTAGAGTTTGCAACTCTTGGACATAATCGAATAAGTCCTTTTTACCCTGGCGGGTTGACAGTAAACGTAACCGCGCGCAATATTTCCTGATTAGGCGGAGCTGACACATGAACAGCTGCTGTTTTAGCATATCCCATGTGAAAAAAAGCCTCTTTAATCGAGGTGCCAGAAGTTAACGCACACTCCCTGGCTCAACCACCATTCTTTTTATTGGACCAGACCAACCTTCTGCTGCTCTGACCGCAGCAAGGTCGAGCTGACGGCAACCTCCATTTCGCGAATCTACAAAAGGAGGTTTTCTCCCTCTTTCTTCTCGAAAGTCTTGACACTTAAGACCAGCGGGCAAGTCCTTGAATCAGCCCACGGTATTGGAACATGCCGAGTGGGCATTAAAGATGCCAAATGGTCACGGACCTGTCCGATCAACGTATACTTAAAGTTCGACAAGGCCTTGAGACGTGCACGAAGTGCTTCCGGGCCTCGCGACACTATAAGAGCGACTTGCTCGTGCCTGATCAACGCCGTGAGCTACTCAAGAGTTATCTGCTGGGCATCAGAGAGTTTCTTAGCCTACTCCATCCGCGCAGATGCATCAGTCTGTGACGACTCAAACGTAGATTGACTAGTAGTACTACCAGGTATAGCGAAGCTACTTAGAGCTCCTTAACAGAGAAATTCTTCGACTCAAAGATTCTCTTAGTTATAACAAACTAACAACGACGTACAGTCAATCAAGCGTACAAGCTTAACAATCTTGGTTCCCAAGGGGTTGCGGATCACAGAATCACACACTAAATAGTCACTACTAGATATGCTAGAGTAAACGCCTTCACAAGGCTAGCACTCTTACAAAACGTAATGCCATGACTAGCCACTAGCGTCCAACGATTCAAAAGGGGAACTGAACTTTACTTATTCTTTAACTGCGGTAATAAAACCCCAAAACCTTTCCTGACTGACTTTTACATTACGATCTTATGACATAAGTCTGATCCCTTATCCTTACCCGATAAGGTGCGCTATTGCCGTAAGTACGTGATACCAGTACTGTATTTCTCAGATCAACCAATCTTTACTTGGTGTGATAACACTACATAACTGGTTCAAGTAACCGCATGTAACCCCGTTACAACTAGTGTGCCGTACTCACGCCAGCTTGCGTATTCACACACAACACGTGTAGGTAACATCAGTGCGATCGACAACGGCCACTCCTTCGTTGGCCACGTCTTTCAATCTTGCTTGGCCGCCCAAGCTGCGGGCTTTTGATCGACTGTTGCATCGCTATTCGTTTTCGCCGCCTCCTTTGTCGTTATGCAAGATTTAACAACCGTGTTCGATAACGATCACTCTTCGTCGCCGACAAGTGATCCATGACGGATTTTGGAGGCATCCATGCCTTCTTTTCAGGAGCGAGACGCAACACATTGCGGTCCCGCTCTTCCTGCGACGTGCCGACAGAAGTACTGGCACCTCGCTGTGAAGTGGTGTCCATAGGAGAACCGACACCACTGTTAGCGCCCGAGTCTCGCGACCTCGAGCGCCTTCGCTTCGGCGATGGTTCATCTGAGGAATCAGATGAACCAAAGATGCTGCGACGCAAAGCATCATCCATGCCACGCTTGGCAGGCGGCTTGGATTCGATCGCCGTCGATACGGATCCGTCTTCCGTATCAGGAGAGTATGAGACACCGAGCTCGTACTCTGTGAAGACATGAGTGTCTTCATGACCAGCGCCTGCATCACCATGTGACACAGGCTGGGTCGCTTCAGCAACCGATGAGACATCAGTTGCTGTGGTTTCTGCTTCGGCGTCCGCACAGAGACGTGCGGACGCGCTCTCGGCGGCCTTGCTCGCGCATCGCATGGGCTTGTTAACCATGCGATGAATTGTTGGGAAGTGGACTCGGACCAACAAGTGCAAACCCTGTCCCAAATGATTTGGGACGAGTATCCATTTAGTCAATCAGTCACTAAAGTGACTGATGGTTAAGGGGGGGGGTGATGTAACGGGGTGAATCGTTACATAACAATTTATAAGAAATTGTTGATAGAATATAACTAGAAGAGTTATATTCCCAGAATATTGTCATAAGGACAAATATTCTGTAGCACTTACGAGTAGTTCCTAATTGGTTGATATAGGCCATTATATCAACCAACGAAGACGCGCCACGACAGACGCACGCAATGAGTGGTGAGCAGATAGTTGATTTACACATTTGTATTTAGACATAGTTAAATGAAGATAAATAGTGATTTATTGCAGACATTAACTATGATAAATACAGTTCTACTTTTTACTTTAACCAAGTACTCGCTTCTTCTTACCGTCTTCCTCTGCACGTACGAGTGTACGTGAAGTGACGAGCACCGCCTTATTCTGTCATCAGAATAAGTAGCTTGTACTGTCACCAGTACAAGCTTCAGGGTGCCCCGTTACAGTCGATGTAGGCAAAGGACTGCGGCGGTAAGTGTTGTTCGAAAGAGGAGAGGATAGACTTTCTGATATTGCACCTACCCGTAGTTGCTATAAATCAGCTTCGGTTTCGGACACCCCGATACACATTTCGTCTTGTCTGGAATGTTGGCTCATGCACAAATGCACGGATGAGAATGCGAAGCGAAAAATCGAGGTATAATGTACGAGGTGTTATTTGTCTCGACTGCTTCGAAAATATGTACGACCAACTCCACAAAGATTAATGCACGACGAATGTTGAGCTGATCTGTCATAAGCGACATATTGTGTGTACACACCACGTGTGCCTGAAGCCACCCGAGCAAGGAACCATTGGCTGAAAGTCCGTGCTACGAACGACACGGTTAGGACACGGAAATCCCTACACTAATCCGCCACCTTCGATGCTCCGTGTGCTTGGCCAACGCCTCCCCTCGCTGCGTGCAGTGGTACCAAATCATGAAACCTCACGATTGTTCCACGCATCAGCTTCTTTTCTACACGTAGACGTGTCTAAATTTGCATCTCATCCGACGTACGTCCAATGCAAAAAATATCGTTGAAGTCCTACAAACGTCCTCTATAATCCACAATCGTCCTGCTTTGACGGTTGTCTGATGCTAGTGTACACGTCAAGTTCAAGCAGCGGGACGAGTCGATTCGAGAGGTGGAGGCCAAGACGGGTATGTCGTTATTGGAAGTGGCCCACGCTAATGATATCGACCTGGAAGGTGCGTGCGAGGCGTCCATGGCGTGTTCCACCTGCCACGTGATTCTGGAGGACTCGGTGTACGATCGGCTGGACGAGGCCTGTGAGGACGAGGAAGATATGCTGGACATGGCTTTCGGACTTACTGACACGTCGAGATTAGGTTGCCAGGTATTTGTGGACGAGAGTTTCGAAGGAACGACAGTGACGCTACCTCGAGCCACTCGCAACTTCTACGTCGATGGCCATGTACCCAAGCCGCATTAAGGTCTGATTGAAGGACTGTGCATGCACAGCGAAAATGACAGTATACTGCAGTCGAGAGCGTCCTCGAGAGGTTTATTTAGATTCAGCAATGAGGAACCTGTTTACCGGCTTCAAGTACCTTCTTGTGTTTCGCTTGCTGCGCGCCACATAAATAAAGGGACATTCGCGCAATGGGCACTAGCAACTCGTTCATTGCCGTGTGTTCCATGAAAAAGTGCAGTTGCTCGACTGCTTCCTCCGGCCGATTCATTCTGGTGTAGGCGCTGGACACGGAACTTTCCCTTCCAGCTCGAGTTCCGATGAAAAAGCGTCGTGGTTCCTGCGTGGCGACAACTTGTTCATGGGCATGACAGCCAGCAATCCACTCGTGGTCGACAGTGTACTGGAGGTCGTGCTCACGCCACATGTACCATCAGAAAGTGCACCAACTCCCAACCCAGCAGTGTTGCAAATGTACTCGACAGCCGCATGCACACAGTAAACGTAGTATGACTCCTCGCCATTCGCGTTATCAGCAGTAATGGCGAAATTCTCCAGAAGATGTAGCTGTGCGTGGATTGTCAGCAAGCGACAGTGCACCAACACGTACGCCAACAACGGAAAGAACGTTTCCACAGAGAACTGGGTTGTGCCTAGCACAAGCGCAGCTTCGTGGTGTAAAATGACCACGCCATGCATGAGCTCAGCGAGCAGATCGCAAGGCACCACACTCACCATGCCGTTGAAAGCTTCGATGGCGCGAACGAGGAATATTTGGTTTTGACACGGACCGCTTCCGTCACTGGATCTATCAGCCCGACGACTGGGCAAACTGGAACAAATCTTAGTGACCAGCTCAGGCGACACACCCAAATTCTCCATAGGTAAACCACTCAACTCAACGCATCTTTTCCGCCATAGCTTGTCTTTTCGCTGGCATTCGCGGGTCGCTTTCTGGTCATAGCAGAGCACGGCAATACGCGGAAATACCGTGCGCTGGATGAAGACACTCAGGCTCTTGCTGACATCCAATGGTACATCGAACTCACGTCGAACACGACCAGTCAGTCGGTTCACAAAGTCAATTATCCGTTCGGGCGGTGTGTCGTTAGTCCAAGAAGCACGCTGCGGTCTACGTTGCACGCCCTTTCCTGCCAAAGAACTAGTTTGGGATCGGAGTCCGCCATTCTCGTTTTCCTCCAACTCTTCGAAACTCACCGCAGCAACGTCTTCTGAAAGCTGTAGTACCCACTGACAGATACGAGAATGTCTCGATGAGAATATGAGGTTTTCGAAGTGAGCCTGTGCAACCTCCCACCAGTCTCGCTGGCACATTAGCTTGCCAAAATCGGAATAAAAATCTTCGGCGGACAAGACGTTCAATATCTTTTCCACTTGCAGCTCCTGCAGACCACCGTCGAACGCGACTGAACCAGAAGGAGACACACCTGCCAACTCTGAAGTAGGCACAGTACCCACAGAGCTCGACGCTGACTCTTCCCTAGCATTCCGCTGCATCAATCGATACCAGCTCACGGCCTCGAGCAATTTTGACAACATAAACCGTTTCACTTGAGGCTTCTCAAAGCAGTCAATACCGTTGCGGAGCTTTGCCTCGACTAGAGCACTCCGCCTTTGTGCCACACTGGTAGCCAAAAGTTTGTACTGCTGCTGCAGCACAACATACTTGATGTCGGCGGACAGCATGACGTCTGCCGCTTCAAATGAGTCAAGCTGACGCTCGGTGAGCTCCAGGTCGGGGTTGTGTGCTGTCACGATTTGCAAGATGCCACGCACATGGCGGCGGTGTCGTTGTAACTGATTTAATGCGCGGTGAGAAATAGTCACCCCCAGCTTCTCGGCTAGAATCGCCAAGCCATCAGCATCTGACGCTTTCGTCGTCCGTGTGCCACATAGAAGACTCCACATGACATTAGATGCAGGAGCTGCTGGTCGTTTGACTCTCGACTTTTTGCCAACACGCTGCGCCTGGTGTATGCGCTTGTATTCCTGCGCAATACGTTCGTTCACGTCCCGCAGACTCAGCTGTAGTTTAGCTCGTAGCCTGTTCGAAGTTGGAGGCGATGAGGGGCAAATGAGGCCGTCGAAATCCAATGACGATGCCACGCTCACACAAAAATCTTCGTCGTCTTGGGGATTCTCTAGCACAGAGCTAGCCCCGGGTCTCTTGTTTGTATAATGGTGATCCGGAGGTACAGGCACAAGGCATGGGCTGCCGCTTAGACTCATCGTACGTCTCATTTTGTTCCACTGGGCAAAGCCAGAGCTGCTGCGCACAGCGCAGCTGCTACTGTAGCTCTTCTGCATTGGAGCTCGACGGTCGTACATCGGACTCTCCGGACCAATGCTGAGACCTGCTTCTTCACTCGTATCCGTCGTGCAGGAATAAGCAAACGAGCCAAATGGACGACACGTGTGTGGACTTGTCGCAGTGGCACCAGCATGACGATACCCTTCCTCGTCTTTGGCGTCGTCCGGCTCTTTTGTGTACCCATAGCAGCTCTCCCCCAGCGTCGTCGTGGCTGTAGCGTTCATAGGCGAGCACATCACGTCATAGAACGAACTGGCGCGCGCATGCCGTGCGTGGCCGTAAAAGCTTTCGATCACGGGGTGCGTGACCCAGTCCGACACGATCCACACAGCAGGCGCATGCGCTTCCTCCGGCTTTTCCTTTGACGGTCGTCGTCGCGCAACGGGCGACGAGCTGACGGACATTCCGAGCAATCGGATCGGAAGGTTTGTATGTAAAGTGCCGAAAGTCGCACTTTGCAGGAGCGCAAGAAAGTGACCAGTCACGCTTATCCTCGTAAAAAGCACACGACAGTTTGACGTGATTGCGGACGAAAACAAAAGCTACTGGGCGTAGGAGCAGACAGAATGCGGAAGAGAGGAGCGACGTGGAGTGTACCAGAGGGGAGAGGGGGTGTACCGCCCGGTGGACTAACGACAGCACGTGCGTCACGCTTGACACAAAAAATCGAGCTCAAGTGACGCGCACTGATGCGATAGAAAGTCCGCGAACAAGGGACCACCTGTTGTTGTCGGGTTGAGAGTACAATTGGACGACACCCGCTCGCTGTGGTTGTAGTACTATTTGTTGTGCGCGTGTATAAAATCTGGCAGGATCGTATTTCTTGACTGGAGAGGCATTCATCAGTGTTGCATTTGACCAGTAGTACACAGAACCCGCAGTCGTATGTTTGAAATGAGCTTGTCAACAAAGTAGGAGCCGTACGCGTTGAAGCAGTCGTTGTAAACTGGTGATCGATTCGGCATGCGGACTAGTCCCATGCACGACCTCCATTTGTAGTACCGGTGCTACTATCGGATCACCTCACCCCCTCACCCCAAATGGGGCAAGTCGCTACCGACTAACGCTCGTGTTGTTCTCTGCCTTGCTTGACTCTCCCAGTCGGCCATTTGCAGCATGCTAGAAGTTGCCACTGTGTTTTGCCAGGTGAAGTGAAGGCCTGTGGGACCTTTCGGTCACATATGGTAGAAAGCACCATGAGTATTTCATTAGATTCAAGAAACGAGGCCGTCATGGTCTCACTGTTTTCTTCGCGGCCATCACAAACTGACTATTTCACGGGACAAACATCGGAGTGAGCTCATCCGCTCGCCCGTTCGGTTTGTAGTTTAGCACATTTTATGGTAAAGCGGCATACCACGAACTTGATTGGCTAAGTTGTGGCGCTGCCATAAATAAGTTTATGCTTTTCGCCTCGTTCTGATTGTTTTTTGCGCGTCATGTAGCTTCCAGTGAGTATTGGGCTACCATTGTAATAAACAGTTCGCACACACGCACCATCTGCTGGACTTGCTACAAATCCCAAGTCCTTCTAAATATTGTACTACAATTCTAGCCCTTGCCTTCCTGCACAGGGAAAAACGTCGCATTCAGTTGTAAGGTTGCGTATTCGAGGACGACGACGAGATCTCCGACTGTTGACGGAGCTCGGCGCAGCTACAGGACCACCGGGTGTCCGTCGGATCACGAGTCGTCATGAGTGACATGCGGCTGTTCATTTACTGCAATGAAGCGGGCTCGGAGGGCAAGGTACGGGGCGTCGATTGTGACGTAAAGGGATCGTGATCGGGCTTCTCATGCTGTTATTGTCGTTGTTGGATGTATGTGTTTGTAAAGGTGATGAGCCTCAAGTCCAAGGACAGTGTGACAAAGCTGAAGAAAGTAGCGAGCAAGAAGCTACGAGTGCGTGCCAAGCGGCTGTTCTTGGCCAGCGGTGCCGAGATCTCGGACGTGGACGAGCTGCAGAACAACGACACACTCTACGTCTCCCAGGGCGAGGCTTTCTACAAGGCTATTGGTGCGTTAGTGTGGCGTACAGAAGCTACTTGATTCTGTAGCTGGAAGCAATGGAGCTGAGGGACTTGCTTTGTCGTGCTGATGTAGGGCCTGCAAACGGACAGGAGACTTTCCACATGTCTGTGCTGGGATCCGGTGGTGTGGGCAAGAGTGCACTCACGTTGCGCTTTGTGCGCGACTATTTTGTAAAAGACTGGGACCCGACGATTGAAGATGCGTACAGGAAATCCATCTCGGTGGACGAAGGACTGTGTATGCTGGAGATTCTGGACACTGCAGGGCAAGATGTAGGTTTATCGTCATACAAAGACAACCGGTGTTGTTTGCGCTCACTTGGCTCTTGCTGGTAGGATTTCGAGTCACTGAGAGGGCAGTGGATGATGGACAAGGATGGATACGTTTTTGTGTACAGTATGGACTCGCGGATTTCTCTTCATGCAAGTATTGCTGCTGATTGTTCTGGATCATGAGGACATTGCGTTGAGCTGACGTTTGTATGACGTTGTACAGGAACTGCAACCGTTCTTTGACCTGCATCTTCAGATCAACGAGAGTCGACGTCCATTGCCACCTATTATTCTCGTGGCCAATAAGAAGGATGTGGTAGACCGCGACCCGGCCAAGTGCCAAGTGAGTACGGAGGAAGGTCGACGGATAGCACACTCGTACAACGCGCGCTACATCGAGACGAGTGCGTTGACGGGAGTGAATGTGACGGCCGTATTCGAGACGTTTGTGCGCGAGGTGCGTCGAAGGAAGGTGCCCAAGCCCAAGAAAAGCGCGTGCTCCATTCTATAGCGTCACAGGACGAGAAAGTCGTTGCGGTTGTCTGCGATGCAATTACGCGACGTTCCGAGGCGACGAGACAGCGACAGTTGGACGAGAAGGTCGCATTCGAGGTGTCGATATCGACGCTACTATTAGTTCGTAGACAGTAGCAGGAGATGTCAATGCAGATAGTAAAAGATACTGGAGCATGTGAAGCATGGCGATGCATGCCGGCAAGCTTGACCAGCTAGTAGCTGACTGTGAATTCATTTTTGACAAGCGTTTTGATCACCGAAGTGGTATTTGTATTGTTGACATTTTGTGAAGTGGCACTTTGGTCGCACCGACGCTAGGAGCAACATAAGACCAAAAGTGACATTTCGACACGGTTTAAAATTCAAACAGCGAAAAAAGACAGGCATGGGGGACGCCGTGCTGCGTGTACACAGCCGCTTGCAGCTCTTGGCGTGCGAGAACTGGTCGGCGCTGGAAGAGAGCCACGGGCGAAACGTGTCATGGCTGCGGGAGGAGTTTGCGCAGATCTCGCGCTCGCTGGGCGTCAAGGCGCGTCTCGAGCAGCCGCAGCTGGACGCGGCTGTGCCATTGTATAGGTACAGCACGGTCTTTTATTCGGGTCATTTTGACAATTTTGCAATGTTTTCTTAATTATGTGTGCGCTGTTTGTGGTGGTCTTTATGGTTTATAGAGGCCATGAAGATACTTTTGACGTGGCTGGACCTAAATGGAAGAAACACAAGACAGAGAGACAGGGAGAAGTTGAGGCGCCTATTGCTGCTGCTGTACCTTGTCAAGAAGGAGAAACGAAGAGGTTGTCCATGCGGCTGCGAGGTAGGAAACCGAGCACGGACGTTGTAGTGGGTGCTGGTGCCACGCGAAAGAGAGGGCGGTCGTCTGCGGCGCTGCTACGAGACCCAGGGAAGCTCAAAGTGACGGAGTTGCGGTCCGAGCTAAAGGAAAGAGGACTGAGGACCAGTGGATTGAAAGCTGCGTTGTTTGACCGACTTTTGAATGCGCTAGAGAAGGAGCAGAAGGAGGAGAGCGAACATTTGGACCAGGTAGAAGAGGTAAGAGCGATGAAGGAGCAAGATAAGGAGGCCATTGTGATCGACGATGACAGCGATGAGGAGGAGATCGTGCGCGAGAGCGTGGGGTCGAACAAGTCGCAACCAAGCGTTTTGAGAAGCCAGTCGACGTCGCCAAAATCTGCAGCTGAGAAGTCAGAGGATGTCGAACAGTCTCCAGTTAAATTGGAAGGCAGACAAAGCATGCCGCCGTTACTGATGAATGGAAACTGTGCTGAAGGTGAATCACATTCAGGCTGTGCTGCGCAGACAGAAAAAGCGTCGGTGTCAAGCAAAGCAGCCGCAGCAACTGGTGTAGTAGAAGAGCAGCAGCTATCTGCTGAGCTTGACAATGTTATATTGTCTAAGATGGCTTCTAGCGATGATTGTAAGGTCGCTGTCACTAGTAACGCAGAGACGGTATCGGTCTACGACGAAGTGAAGATGGCGCGAAAGTCGATGCAAGTTGGTGGAAAGAGTGAGCTCACGAGTCCGCTTGTGTGGAAACGAAAATCGATTTTGCGGAAAGCGTCATCGTTGGCGCCTTGTACACGAGCTCCAGCTCGCAATGTCAGCTTTGCTCCCACGGACAAGGTGGACGTGATTGTTGATAATTTTCAAACCGATTTCACTCAGCCTGATCCCAGTCCGGAAAAAGATTCTCCGTTGGTTGAACGTTATGTCCCACATAATGACAGCAAATGTGCTGGATCTGACTCATGTTCAGATGCCAGCATAACGCCAAAATCTGTCAGGACGTCTGTGGCTTCTTCTTCGCCGTTGGCTTCACCAAATGATCCTTCTATTGAAGCACCTTCAGAAGAAGAGACCGAGAGGCAGCGCAAAAAGCGAGAATACGACGAGACAGTTCAGCGTGAAGCCCAGAAGTTTCGACTTGCTGCGAAGCTATCCGCGCAGAAGAGGGTCGAAGAAGCTAGAGCAAGCCAAGTACTCTGGGCGAAGGGAGACCAACTGAGGTCGAGGTTGCTGGCTTCAGCTGCTGGAGAAAAAAGGAGAAGTGCCCGTACGCCATTAGCTGACAAGGCTGTTTCTGACAAGGTTTCACCACTCCTTTCCGAGTCGTCGACTGTTACTGGAAGTACTTCTAAAGTATCTGACACAAATTTCTTGACAGTCCCAGCTACCAGAGGTGAAGCCAGATTCTTGGACACGACTCCGCTAAATGATAAATTGGTCGAGTCCACGCGATCGTTGGATTGTCGACAAGGAGGGGATATCATTCCGGAGGTGACCTCAGGCTGGGAAAGCGTATTGCATTGGCCTAAAGTTCCCGCAGCTCCGCACTCCGTTCTGACTGACAAGGACGAAAGTGAGGGTTCGATCATTCATCGGCTGGGAGTCGAGCCAGCAGCGAAGTCGTTGCCCACTACTAAGAGGGTGCCACTAGAATTTGCCGAATCTCGCATTCCTTGTCCGGAAGATGAATTGGAAAAGCTGGATCGACCTTCCTTCGTGTTGCCAGCGGCATCGCACAAGGACGTAATCAAGCCCGAGTCGCCAAAGGGTCAGGCTGCTGCACCTTTGCTAGTTCACAAGCCGGAGTCGCTGTCCTCGATGGTCCCATCGGTCCCGAAGCCACTAGCAGTGGAGACAGCTTTGAAAACTGTGGATTTGACGATTACTAAAGATGCTCGACGACCCATCTCGAATCTCGTGAGTGGGCTGCATTCTTTTACGACATTGTTGGAGAAGAATCAATCGCAAGAAAAAACTGCCGTCCGCAGCGCCCCTGTGTTGAATGCACTGAAGCTTGCGGAGAAGTCGCGCGTTTTGGAGGAAAAGAAAAGGCTAGAAAAGGAGAGACGCAAGGTGATGCTGAAGAAAAAAATGGAAGAGCACAAGAAAACTGCAGCGCTCAAAGAGAGAGCTGAGAAAGAAGCTCAGGCGAAACGAGAGCAAGACCGACTCAATGTGCGGAAGAAACGTGAGGCCGAGCTCGCGAAGCAGCGACAGCAAAAACTGAAAGAGATGCGTGCAGGTCTAGAGAAGAAGCGGGCGATGCTTGCCGCTGAAAGGAAGGCAGTCCATGTGGCTAGTGCATCGTTGGTGTCCAAGTCCACGACTACTGCTGCAGGGGCATCGCATCAACGGCATGGCGGTCTTTCCAGTACTTCTGAGGCTTCTCAGCCCAAGCCGGTACCGGTGCCAATACCGAAACTCGATTCGAAGTCGATTGTCCCGAAGTTACCTCAAGCGTCAAAGCTAGCGCCAAAGTCAACGCTAAAACTTGCTCCGAAGCCGACGCTGACATCTCCCGGTCCTGTGAAGCATGCTCGTAAAAGCCATTCACCCGACGTCATGAATTATGAGATGTCGGACAACGTGGAGTCCTCAGACGGTGACAGTAGCGACTCGGATGCAGATCATCGCGGAAAGAAGAAGGTGCCGAAATGGGCGCAAAAGAGCCACCTCAAGAAAGTTCTACATGCCCAGTTCGGCAAGAATGCCACTGATCCTTCACGTGCGATTTTCCAGGACTTTGTTGACACGTGCAACTTGGAGGCTATCTTTGAGACGACGGATGTCAGCAAGAAGAAGAAGTTTGCTAGACGGACAAGTAGTGGCAACTGGTTGGCTGATCGACCGACCGCGCGGGACCGAGCTTTGTATCAACGTGACATGGGGTATGACCGGTAAGTTGAGAGAGCACAGGAAGGAAGGAGTGAAGGAAGGCGATGTCTCATGCTGCTTGATGGTGACTGTACTCTGGTGAAGTTATAATAATATTTACGAGCTTTTTACACTGCAAGGTATAACACCGGCAGCTTTTGTCGGTCATTTATACTGCCTTTCGATCGGCAGCTTGTTGAATTTCTTGTTTTGTCGTTTTCCAGTTGATCTACGTAGTTTCAGGCGTACTTCAGAATGCAGTCTGCGGTTGCTATTCCGAGAAAACTGCCATTCGAGGCAAGCCGCTCGACCTGTGGTGATCCTTTCGCAGAACATAATCTTCGGATATCATCATTTGTTGTGAGCAGTAAAAATCCCCGCCGTAGTTCACCCATGGAAGTGATCCATGCAGATAGTTTGCACGGTATGTATGAGTGTAAGCTGTTTGATGCTTTGCGCAGAAATCACAAGACGTGAGACGTATGTACCTTAGCATTCATGGTAAAGTAACGACAATCAAACGCGTACAAGAAAACCAAGCACAATTACTGAACTTCAGTTCTTACACCAACATCTGTGGGTCTACTCAGTAAGGTCTTGACTTCATTACATCAACTTCCTCGATACGTCGAGTACCCAAAGGGATTGAGAAGCAACGGTATGTGATAGTGTTGGTTTGGGTCTTTCACATTGAAAGTGATGGTCACCTCCGGGTAGAGGAACTCGGTGACTCCATTGGCCTCAAAGTACTGTGCAGTGTCAAACACTATGCGGTAGGTCCCTGCCTCAAAGACCGAAACTTGCGGGACCAAATGACTTGCAACGCGTCCATCGGCATCTGTTTGCCCCTCATTGACACGGACCCAAACGTTGTCCTGGAGATGTTGCAGCTCTACACGAACGTTAGCGGCTGGACGACCGAGAGAAGTGTCGAGGATATGCGACGTCACGTGGGACTTGTAACAACTCATGGAGATATGGCGCTGGATGGTGGCGATCCGAGTGGACATTAATCAGATTTTGACGACAGAATGTTCGGATAAGTCTCGAGATATTACGGCACATGATCACATGTTACAGAATCTTTGTGCCATGTCACAAACTATTGTCATATTATCGAGCAACTTAATTGCGTTAGATTGTTTTTTCGCAATTTATGGAATTTTGTCGCCTGGTCATGTAGTATTTCACGGCGGTCGCGTCTTGAATAGAATTGAACAAATGAAAAATCCATTTGCCAGCCACGTGTCCTCCGCTTGAACGTACCCATATCTGTCACGATACCTCTGTAATGACTAGCAGATCTTAACCACCAGCACTGTCGTTAGGGGTTAAGGTACACCTTCAAAACAAGTGGCTTATGTCACATACACAGTCAAGACGGTGTGGTGGTCCATTTTGTCGATATCTTTATGCCTGTGATTCGAGCACGACGTTGTGAGCGTTAGATTTCCTGGAAACTATGGAGCCGGAATGTTTCGATGAGACCGTCGCGAGTATAAAGCCCATAATTGAGAACGCCCATTTGGGATCTCGAGAGTGCTTGAAGCATGGAATTATCTACGTTAAATGACAAGTGCAAAAATTTCAGTCAACACCAATGGTATTTGCAAGAAACCAATTGATGGATCATCTACCTCGTCATATCCTGCTGTGTTGACACGTTTGAAGCGATACTCTTTTTGTAACGGGGTGAATCGTTACATAACAATTTATAAGAAATTGTTAATAGAATATAACAAGAAGAGTTATATTCTCAGAATATTGTCATAAGGACAAATATTCTGTAGCACTTACGAGCAGTTCTTAATTGGTTGATATAGGTCATTGTATCAACCAACGAAGACGCGCCACGACAGACGCACGCAATGAGTTTGAGCAGACAGTTGCTATGCACATTTGTATTCAGACATAGTTAGATGAGGATAAATAGTGATTTATTAACAGACATTAACTATACTGAATACAGTTCTACTTTTTACTTTAACCAAGTACTCGCTTCTTCTTACCGTCTTCCTCTGCACGTACGAGTGTACGTGAAGTTACGAGGCACCGCCTTATTCTGTCATCAGAATAAGTAGCTTGTACTGTCACCAGTACAAGCTTCAGGGTGCCCCGTTACACCTGGTAGCACTTCGTAGTCCGTCCAAAGACCACGTTCACATCTAACATGAATATGTTGGATATTGAAGATGACCAAAGCTTTCACGCTACGCGTGACGGCTACTCCCATTTGAGCGATGTCGAATGGGATGCGGTTGAACGGATGGGTTCAACCATGGGCATCCATGCTGTTAGCGTCATGCTAGAGGCTCTCAACAGAGATGCCCAACATGCTACTATCGCCAAGTTCATTCAAAATGAACTTGACGCAGAACGCGAGAAAGTAGCCTTGCTTCACCAACAAGGTTCTGCATTCGCGTCGACCCGAGACCTTGAAGATTGACATCTCCAAGTATAGGGGAGTCGAAGAGGACTCCCTCTTGAGATGGTTCGTAGAATTGGATGATGCCATAAGGGCGCGTCGCATCGACGACGGGGATATGCAAGTTGCATTTGCCCAGTCAAATCTTGCAGGACGTGCTAAGACTTGGGCACTGGGGCTCAAGTTGCACGACCCGTATGCGTTTGGGTCGTTAGAAGTCTTCAAGTCGTGGCTCAGACAAACGTTTGAACCGCCTAGAGCTGAGTTCAGAGCTCGAACTGAACTCCTGAAACTCAAACAAGGTAAGCGTGATGTGCACGCTTACGCACAACATATACGACATCTCACGAGTTGTATAAGTTCCAACCCGGTGGATGAACACACGTTGCTGTCGGTGTTCATGCAGGGTCTTGCGGATGGTCCCGTCAAGACTCACCTGTTCCGAATTGAACTAGATTTACTAGAACAAGCCATTTCTATTGCGGAACAGGAGGACTTTAGTCTGAGACAGGCTCGCGCCAGCTCGACATCATATCGTCCACCGAGACGATATGACAACGGAGGTCCAGAGCCGATGGAACTCTGTTATGTAGAGAGCGAGAGAGCTCGCTCTACAGACTACAAGAAGTTGCAGAAATGCAACAGATGTCAAAAGACAGGACACTACGCTTACGAGTTTTGTGCCCCTCGTCCAGTGTCTCGCAACACTGGGCGTAGTGACCGTCCACCCACGAGAAAGAGGCAGGGGCGCGGGTCCACTGTTGGTGCGAAGACGCAACAACGGGATGGACCGTCAAAAAATGGACAGGATCAGTAGGTGTGGAGCACCCTACTGGTCCAGCGACGTCAAGAGAATTTGTAGGCCTCTTGATGAAGGTTGCTCCCAACACACAAACGTTGTGCGTTGCTGCTCTAGGTAATGAGATCTCACTCGTTACCTTGATACTCGAAGTGACGAATAAGTTGTCCCTTCGATCTCTGGTCGATTGTGGGGCGTCCAACAATTTTGTGCGACGCCAATCGCTAGAAGATGGTCACTTTAAGTTCAGTGAATGTGACACACCTCCTACGAGGATGACGGTACATCTTGCGACAGGCGCATCCGTAACCGGCATGAAGCGTATAGCGAAGATCCACTATACGCTAGAAGATACTTGATATGACGATGACGTTATCGTATTGGATTTGGATGACAAATTTGATGTCATCCTTGGAATACCGTGGCTCAGAAGGTACGAACCACGGGTAAACTGGCAACATCGAACAGTAACGATGCCTACCGCTTGTTCATCAGATGGCCATCTGATGAACGTTTTGGAGCGTCCACAGGCGTGTGGATGTACTACGAGTGAGTGCGATGGCCTCACTTGTGGTACGGTCGTTAGTACGACAGCACAAAACCTTAATGTACCAAACGGTTACACTTCGGAGCAAAGTTCCGGCGGCTGTGAGGAAAAACAGGCTGCGCCGAAGGTCCACCACTCGAATAAGTCGAGTGGACCGGGACAAAGATGTATCCCTAGCGGGGAACATCTAGAAGAGAAACAATCGATCGCTCAGGTTAAGCGAAACGATAATCCTAGATCGACTGGAGAGTCTTTCGTAGAGGATCTTGCTGTGGTTGCGCAACCCCAGCTAGAGGAAGTTAAGGGATAAGTCCCAAGATTACAAATACGGCGGAAATAAGTTCCCCGAAACCCGCGGGAATAAGTCCCCGGGAAGCCGAAGGAATAAGTCCTTCGAGGCCTGAGGGAATAAGTCCCCAGGAAATGACAGAGACATTGAATGTCATATTCAATAACGGATCAAGTGTAGGCGCTTATACACTTGATCTTGTTGCGCCTCCGAAGCTGACTTCGGAGATCACTCAGTTGCCAACGCTCGAACATAAAAGGTCCTTGCGTGATCTGCGTAGTGGCAAAGTCAAGCAGATCTGCGTACTCGTCGCTGACGACGAGTGTGTAGCCGACATAAGGTCAGCAACAGTGTTTACTGAGAACGAGACAGTTCTCAGTAGTTCATCTATGGACGAGAGTGTCCTAGATGAAAAGACAGGAGTTGAGCGATATGACTCCCAATCGTGGGAATCGCTCAAGACAAATCCTCTCTATGAAGATTTGGTTGAATTCAAGGATGTATTCCCTGAAACTGTTCCGTGCGAATTACCGAAGGATATAGGTAGTCGACACGAGGTCGATCTTAAACCAGGCTCGAAGTACTGTGTCATGAAGCAGTGGCCACTGCCTCGTGAACAAGTACTTGCTATCGACAAGTTCTTTGCCGGTCGTTTAGCTGCGGGCCATGTAAGGGAATCAACTTCCCCACATAGCTCTCCGACCTTCTGTGTGCGAAAAGCAACAGGAGGGTGGCGGATAGTGCATGCATTTAACAAGTTAAATGCTGCAACGGTACCGTCTCAGACGCCGATACCAAGGAAGGACGTAATCATTGATGGTATGTCAAAGAGTCCCATCTTTTCGTTCATGGATTTGATGGATGGCTTCTATCAAATCCTCATGCCAGAACGGGACATACCCTATACCGCAGTAAGCACGCCTAGCGGCATGCTCTGGGAATGGCTAGTAATGCCACAAAGGCTTAGTAATGCCCCTGCCACGTTCAACAGATGTGTATCACATCTGTTGAGACCAGTACGAGAATTCACGCCGAGTTATTTCTATGACGTATTCATCCATAGTCGAGCTATGGATGGAAAGTCGGACGTTGAGGTTCGCAGGTACCACGACCGACAGGTTCTTACAATCATGCGAAAGCATCAATTGTATGCCAACCTCAAGAAGTGTATATTTGCAGCAAGCGAAATACCACTTCTTGGGTGCATCGTTGGTAAGAACGGTGTACGTCCTGATCCCGAAAAGATCAAGGCGATCACCGACTGGCCTGTGCCGGTTGATGTCAAAGGTCTTCGAAAATTCCTTGGGCTAGCGGCGTATTTGCATAAGTATTCACGCAATTACGCCAAGATGACTGTGAACCTCTCTCGTTTGTTGAAAATGAACGAGAGGTGGTTATGGAACGCTGAATGTCAGCGCTCCTTTGATGGTATCAAGCAGAGCTTGATACAATCCCCAGTCCTAGCAATAGCCGATCAGGACAGGCCATTTCATGTGGTCTGTGATGCCAGCGATTTTGCAATCGGCTGTGCATTAATGCAGTACGACCTTGAAGGCGTTGAACGCGTCGTTTGCTATCAGTCTCGTCAGCTGCAACCAGCTGAGCGGAACTATCCGGTGCATGACAAGGAACTTCTTGCCATGAAGTATGCACTCGCGAAGTTCAGAGTATATCTATTAGGAGATAGACCCTTCATTGTTTACACTGACCATGCGTCGTTACGCACGGCAGTGAACAGCTCGCACCTTTCACAACGTATGCCGCGGTGGTTGTCATTCCTTGCAGAATACAAGTTTACGGTCGAGTACAAACCAGGACGACTTAATGTCGTCGCTGATGCACTCTCACGTCGTCCCGACTTTGAACCAGTCGCGAAACCCAACAGTGAGACAGTCACTGTTGCGGTTATGA